TGCCTTCTTATATCTCCTACATGTCACGTCGTCAGTGCAGTTACAACTTGCGCTCTCAAGACATCATTACCTGAAGCGTCCCCTCAGTGCGGACTGAACTCGTCAAAAAGACTTTTCTTACTCTGCTCCTGTAACCTGGAACACCCTGCAACAAGATCTGAAGCTGTCCACTTTGATTTCCTTAAGGGATTTTAAAGATTTAATTATGCAAATATAAACAAAAAATCTAAGAAAATATGTTCTTGTTTTTAGTATTTTATCTTGTTTTATTCTGCACCTTGATTTGACTGTTTTTATAATTTGATTTAATTGCTTTTTGTTGATTATTGTTGTCTGTATTTTATATGCGGTCTGTCTGAAAATGAGTCCTCGTGACTCAATGAGACTAACCTTTGTAGATGAACATATATCGTGATATATTCATAAATTAAACGGATTCATTCATTTTTCTGGACTGAATAATATCGTGCATTGAATTTAATAAAATGTAACGTGAGACGTTAATTTTCTTTGACCCATCAAATGAATGTGGTCATTTATTAACAGAATCAAAGTTTAACATCAAACATTTACATTAATTTGGCAAAATTGAAAATAACAACAGCTTAATTAATTAGCAAGCTTTACGATTAGGAAACCATACGGCCATGATTCCCCTCACTTCAAGTATTACAACAGACATTTCTGAAAATATCTGGATTAATTACTAGCAAAATAGAAGAGTTTAAAGATGGAAATTGAAGTTTAAGTTGAGAGAAAGGATGGATGAGGGAAATGTGTGTGTCGGCATCAGAACGGCACGCTCCATTAAGATCCCAGCTTCTTCCTCGGTACACTTAGGCATTGTCAATCAACTCTTTATCTGTAGAAGGTGTCTCCACTGGTACGGAGTTCCATTTAACGCACCCTTTCAACGTCTCCGTAGGAACAGCTGTGAATCGTTCGAAGTAGTGCCGGTATTCCATCCGACACAGGTTCACCTCTCGGTGGACTCACAAGAGGAGTAAGTCCGTCAGAGGTTCCACTCAGATGTGGAAGATTTCATAATTCCCACAAGACTCAGAAGAACTCCGGATCATGTCTGGACCTCCTGAACTCTCCAGCACTTTTCTGTTCGGTTTGGCTCTCCGAACTGAACTCGACTGCGCTCGACTGCACTAGCTCTCGACTGGTTTGAACTAGGAAGTGCCGACATTTAAAGAGTTCTATTTCCGGTTCATTTGGGAAGTTTCTGATTGGTCGATTGACCAAACAGGGTGTGTTTTAGTGATGTAAGAGGTTATTAAAAATCAAGGAAAAAGATTAAGTTTGTTTAAGAACAGACAGAAAATGTTTT